AGTGGGGTCCCGCAGGGCTTGGTCCTTGGACCGATACTCTTCAATGTCTTCATCAGTGACTTGGACGAGGGAGTGAAGTGTACTCTGTCCAAGTTTGCGGATGACACAAAACTGTGGGGAGAAGTGGACACACCAGAGGGCAGGGAACAACTACAAGCAGACCTGGACAGGTTGGACATATGGGCGGAAAACAACAGAATGCAATTCAACAAGGAGAAATGCAAAGTGCTGCACCTAGGGAGGAAAAATGTCTAGCATACCTACTGCCTAGGAAATGACCTGCTTGGCATTAGGCAACGGGCAGGGGGGCCAGCAGGAGTGCTGGTGCCCCCCCTGCAAGCACTGGCCGGGGAGTGGGAGCGCCGCAGCCACTTCCGGGAGCCAGTGAGATCAGCTGCGGGCCCATCCCCCTGGTCAGCAACATTGTCCGGTTGCTGACTGGTCGCTGGAGAGGCATGTGCCCCCTCTAAGGTGGCACCAGTCACCCATGCCCGTCAAACTCTCCCTGACATCCACCATCTTTGGTTTAGAAATGCCAGAGGATACATCCCTGATGGCTATTTTCATAGCTGTTTATGAATTTGTCCAGTTCATTTTTTAACCTTTCAGGCACCTATACACATGCCAAACATCTGCTCCAATGTCCAGCAGCTTCCATGTCATGTATATTCAGCACCCCCATGCTTCAAAATGGTGGCGAGGTCACTTTAACTAAAGCTCATTGAACAAGTTTTATTTAAAGTGCCCCTGCTACCATTTTGAAGCGTGGGATGCTGAAGACATGTGATGCTGCGGGTGCCTTAATTAGAGTGGCCCTTCACCACCCATGTAAAGATGCCCTTCTATACTGTCTGCCTCCACAACCTCCTGTGGTAATTAGTTTCACAAGTTTAGCTGTTGTATATCAAATTACTTTCCTTTGCTAGTTTTAAACCCTTCTCCTGCTAATTTCAGTGGGTGCCCCCTGTTTCTAATATTCTGCGATTTGGTGAAAAACAGTTCCCTGTTTACTTTGTCCACATCCTTTATTTTACAGACCTCTGTCATACCCCCTCAGACTTTTCCTTTCTAAACCAGAGTCCTAGCCTTTTTTTAATTTCTCCTCATATGGCATCTGCTCCATACCCCTGATCATCTTGGTTGACCTTCTCTGTAGCTTTTCTAATTCTACTACATCCTTTTGGAGATGCAGAGACCAGAACTGCACACAATATTCAAGATGTGGCACACTACGGAAGTTTACTGGCATTATGTTGTTCTCTGTTTTACTTTCTATTTCCTTCTTAATAATGCTTTAGTCCTGGGGACTAAGACAGCAGCAAGGTGCATCATTGAAAATTTTAGCAGATGTGTGGGGAGTAAGGGGGAAGAAACAACTGTATCAACTCACCACAGTAACGATTGCTCTATTTTTTTTTAATGTTTTAAATAAAGTTGGGGACTGGGTTCCTGAGAATTGCTGTTACCAATAACTTATTCAAGATTAAAACCACCTTGGTTTTGTGAAGACCTGGAATTTCAAGTTCATACAATTCATGCTTCCGTCCTGGTAAATGTCTAGCCAGCACTTAATTCAACTCCATGTGTGTCCAAGATACTTCAGGCCTAATGAAGTGGGCCCCACATAAACCCTGACATGGCTACACATTTGTGACCTCCATTTATTGTAATTTATTATTAAGCTAAGAACAAAGCCACATGCCATTAAATAAATCCACAGCTAGCTGCTGTGACCATAATACCTTTTTACATTATTTCTGATTTTTCCTAACTGCTGGGTCCAGGTCTCTGTCCCATTATATTTAAATCCCAACAAGATTATCCCAAACCTCCTGAAGGATCACTCCATAAGCTTGAGTTCTCACAGCAGCTACATCCCATTGGAACCATATATCCAGCTGTTCATCAAGCAGAAACATGCACGAGCACAGAGGACAACTGTTAGATAAGCAGGACCTACACTGTGGAACTGGCCTCCAAATGAGAGGACAGTGGAGCTGGACTTTGGCATTTTCAGAAACAAATCAGAACTTGTTTCTTCAACTTACATTCACTGCAGCAATTTCTGCCCCAAACATTTACTCACCCCTCACAAAGCAAAACAAAAAATGCCCTTACAACTCCAGATTCTACCCCAAATGTAGAAAAGGATGAGACACACTATTTTGTTAATTTAGAGAAGTGTTTTGAATAGGATCCATGAACATGTAATGTGTGTTAAAGGAATAAAATTAATAACATAAATTAAGGGTGGAAAAAAATTACTAAGTTATACACATGCCAAATGTCTGCTCCAATGTCCAGCTATCCTCACAGTCAAGGCAGAGTGTTTCCCTGCAGCATGTCCTGCATGGCTTTGACCATTTTATTTTATAAAATACCTACATCTCAGATTTGGGAGATATATTCACACAAAGGGGTGTCTCATTCACCAAGTCAAGACAGACAGAAACAAAGTGACAAGTGACACTCTTTCAGCCACACCTAAAAACAGCAGTTAGTCATGCTGAAAAGAAAATCTGCTGGTACAATAGTGCCTATTTTAGCACTCTCTAGAGCTGGAAGTAGCAGTCCTGTTATAGAGGCTGGCCATGATTTGAGCATGGGGCAGAGAGGGGAAGGATGACTTTCCACCATACTCACTTTCCTGAGCTCAGTACAGGTGGGGAAAAAATTAAACCCCAAATATACATCAATATCTCATATAGATAAGTTTCTAAAATGCACCTGCCTGGCAGTAGAATGCATCAGCTGTTTACCAGCGCACAGCCACAAAATTAAATGATGGAGAGGAACTGAAGTGGGGGAACAATAAATTAAGTCACTTGAAATGGCATGTGTACTGCAGTGATGAACTGGATTCATGTACCAGCATGCTTAATAGGACAGTGAAGACAAATGACAAATATTTTCCTTACAGAGACTTACATTGGTTGCAGTTCACAGTGAAGTTGTCATAGCCCTGAAAGATGGCTTCACATATTCCACACCTGTTCAAGTGACAGGTCACATATTCATTGTACTGGCAGATGGCATCTTCACAGTTCTCATGAGCAGGCAATGCATCTGAGCACTCATCATCTAAGAGCAAGGTTTGCTTTCATTAAACAGTATCTTTGGTCTTCCTGGTAACTGGCATTTCCCAATTAACTGCTCCAAATATCACTAGAGAATCTCAGTCATACAAATAGTCTTGGGAATGAGACTTCAGATTTAAAGACAAGTCCTGTTCTAAATAATATGATTAAAAAGTGAAATGAAAGCAAATACAGAAATGTGGGAATAACCCCCAATATATAGATCTGAAAGTGCTTTAAAAAGCAGTTGATAACATTAACCCCAAACTGAGGCCCATTCAGGGATGTGATTTACTCAAGGTCACTCAGCAAATTGGTAGGGCAGAGCTGGAATCTGGAGCGAGCTCTCCTAATTCCCAGCGCAGTGGACGATCCACTATCCTACACTACTTCCTAAATACTGTTAGCTGAGAGTCAAACCCCAAGCTCTTTCCAGTCCTTTAAAACTAAATGGATTTGGGGTAATCAAGCTTCCCAGAAAAACTTAAAACCCCTGAGAGATTCTGGAAAGAAAGGGGAGGAAAATGCAAACCACTATTCCACTTCAAAGGCAAATAGAACAGAGTTTAAAAGACATCTTGCAATGAAATCTGCACCATCCAGAACCACAGACAGCAAGCCAATGTTCAGTAAAGAAACATCTGCTAAGTTCCCTTTTGAGCAGTGAGAAAAAAAAAAACCAGTTATTCAGTGTTACTACCAAGCATTGGCTTAAGTCCCTCTTGCTTACCTGGAACAGGAAACACCCAGCAGATTAATTCTAAAACGACAACTAAAAACAAAGCCCTGTGGAAATGTGTCCTCCTCTTTGCCATGTAAAACAGAAGCAGTTAATCTCAGAGCAGTTCTGAAGTCTCTGTTTCCATGTTTGCCTCCGAGTAGCTGGCAGCCTAATGCAACAGTCAGTTCCAGTTCATTAAAACTCGTTTTTCATTATATCTTCTAGGCACAGTTAGTTACAGAGGTGTGGAGCTACATATTTTAAACCCAAAATAACGTAGGACATTTAGAACTGAACACAAGCACTGTGCGTTTTAGTTCTCTGGCTTTTTTTCCTCCGCACAAAGCACTATTTGAAGGAAAGAGACAACTTGCGGTATGTGCATGTGCAGCTCATGAATTTTCTGAGTCGTTATGAAATTGTCAGTGAATTCTCTTGAATCGCTCAACCTGTCTGTGCGCGTCCCCCATGGGCTAGGAAGGCTGAGACACCTCTCTGCCACTCAGGACAATGGTGAGTCATTAGAAATCAATGACTCAGGTGTGTATTACCTTTACCCAAGCTTCAAGAAGAGACTTCCTTCTGTTATCTGAAGTGAGGGAAAACTGTGAACAGGAGAAAGTTGCTAAAGGCAAGCAAAGCAGCCAGGTGACAGAAGGAGGCATGTTAAGGAGGTCTTAGACAGACGCACAGGAAACTGGACAGAAAGTGAAGTGGCTGAGCTGGCTTCTGGAGCATTGCAAGACCCGGTACAGCAGTAGCAGTGATCAAGGTCAGAGAAAACAAAACATGAGCTACTGCATGCTTTCCAAATGCAGGAGGATATGCATGGACATGAGGCCAAAGCAGGCCTCAAAAATAAACCTGACCTACGTATGAATTCCTCACATAAGTATGTGGGCCAGATGTGCACTCCTGCCAGAAGATGGGAGGGGGAAATGGCTGTACAAGGTGTAAGATAATCCAGTACCAAGATAAGGCTAGAATGGGAACGGCCAGGTCAGAGTGTTAACCATTCATGGTACAACATTCAAGAGACAGATGGAATGCAATCTGGAATTTGATCGTGTATAAAAGGGGAACTGGAAATCAGTTGGGGGATCCTGTGTTGTGCTGTGCAGACTACCTTTTCACAAGTACAAATGCCTTAACTCTTGGTCTGATGTGCTTGTTAGGCCTAAGCGTCTTAGGGCTGTGTTTGTAGACATTAAACCTGGCTGAATCTTTGCCACTGAACTGAATCTTTAAGATTGGTGTTTGGAATCTCCTTGCTGCAACTTGTCAACACTGCAGTTCCTGAGACTTTAACACTGATAACACATCAACAACACCCGACAAGGACAACAGCAACAACACTGATAACCCCAGATGATATCTTTTCTCTGATGATTAGACGCTTTCTTCTAATTTGCATCTTGGCTATATGTATTCATGGCCAATCTACACCTGCTTTATCTCACTCCAAAATAATCCATCGGCTTCATTCAATTTTTTTCCTCTCTGGAGTCTACCCTGCTGCTCTTCCCCCCCAGACAGAGAATAAGCCACACTCCTCTTCACCTTGGTTCACAAGGCTCAAGTCAAGCTTTTAACTTCTCCTCTTAAAACAGTCACTCCCTTGATCACCATTGAAGCCCTTCCCTGCATCTGTTCCTACTGAGATGTGTCTGTCTTTCTTGAATGTGGGTGACTGGGATCATGCAAACTGTTCCAGGTGAGAGCTCCACCACTGCAATCAGCTTGCTAATTCCACGAGTAAAAAAGTTAGAATGATTAAAAAAAAAAAAAAAAAAAAAATCATAAGCTTCCCCCCACCAAAAATCCATGAAATTAAAAAAAAAAGTTGTCCATGTGTTTTCTGATTTTTGAGGCTGGGCTCATGGAAGAAATCAGCTTCATTGTGCATTGCATGGCTCTGGATTCAAAATTCAACCTTAAAAAAAAAGGCAAAACAATATGGCCATCTGAAAAAGGAGGGAATTCCCCACTCTGTTTCCTGCTCTTCCACTCCCCTGCCCCATTCACATTCTTTCCCCATATTTCTTAAAGTTTCCTGTCCTTTCCGTATTTCCTTTCCCCCCCTCAGCTGGTAGTCCTTCACACATTCTCCCTATGTTCCCTTTCCTTCTTTCTTTGCTCTTCTGAATTTTCTACCTGTTTCATAAAGTGCCCTGAATTTCACCCCAACTTCTTCAAGTTTCCTATTCAGTTTTCTGAATTTATGGTGCTGTTCCCCACAACCTCCAAGAAACTCGACATCGGGCTTATTGTGAATATTGAGAGGTGGTTGCCGTTTTCACCAAGGGCAGCCTCACTTCCACAGGAAAACCTGTCAAGGCATACAAACATCTTAACCAAGGACATCCCAGTGGTAACCTTCATTCAAAAGGGATGTTTCTAGACTAGTGATTCCCAAAGGGTGGTGCTATGGCACACTAGTGTATGGCAAGCGACAGAGGTGTGCCATGAGATCCCCGTGTGATGAGGTTTTTCGTAGATTTCATAGACGTCAGGGATGGGACCTCGGAAGATCATCAAGTCCAGCCCCCCATCCGAAGGGCAGGAAGTCAGCTGGGGTCATAGGATCCCAGCAAGATAAGCATCCAATTTACTCTTGAAGGTGTTCAATGTAGGTGCTTGAACCACCCCCGATGGCAGGCTATTCCAGACCTGGGGGGCTCGGACAGTAAAGAAATTCTTATGTCCAGCCTTGCAGGAGTTTATAACCGTTCAACCTTGTCATCCCTTGGGGCACTCTGGTGAACAATCATCCCCCTAGATCCTGGTGAACAACCCTGATAAAAACTTATAGGTGGCCATCAGATCACCCCTGAGCCTGCGCTTTTCCAGGCTGAAGAGTCCCATAGCTCCCAGCCTCTCATCATAAGGTCTGTTTTCCTGACCTGTGATCATGCGCATGGCTCTTCTCTGGACTCTCTCAAGTTTCTCCACATCCTTTTTGAATTGTGGGGCCCAAAACTGGATGCAATACTCCAGCTGCAGCCTCACCAAGGCTGAGTACAAGGGGAGAATTAGATCTAGATCCATGACTCTCAACTAGGGTGCTGCAAAATTCATAAAAGTTATGGAGAAGGGTCTTTAGATTAAAAAGATTGAGAATCACTGATATGAAGACTAATTCTATGCTTACAGAAAGATATATTTGGTGTCATTCTTTTAAAAGTACATCTCACAGCACTGGTCTGATTTCCTCTGGCCTGGGAATAAAATAGGTTATGTTTTGAAACACGAGGCACAGACACACACACATACACACCCTTTTTAGGCACAAGAGTGGTGTGCGCTCCCAGAAAAGTATACCCTGGGTATCAAAAGCTCAGGACCCACTGTTTAAGAAGCATCTTGCAGGTACCTGTTCTTGGACCAATGCAATTCAATCTCCTATCAATGATAAAGGAAATATAAAATCATTGTTTCTGAAGTTTGTAGATGACACAGAAGTTGGAACATAAGTTAAATAAGGACATAAAAGTTCCATAGAGCAATCTATATTTCATAGTAACCTGAGCTTATTTTAATAAGTGTTTTAACAATGTATTAATGCAAACATCTGCAGAAATACGAAGAACAAACTAACACTAGCCACATTTACAACAAGAGGAACAGTATCCCAGACAGCAACTGCATTGAAAGGGCTGGGGGTTATAGAATTTGTAACAGTCAGTTGCATGTGACCTAGTACTGCAGTGCTATGGCTAAGAGGTCCAATCCACCTGCAAAGCAGGAAGATATTAAGTAAGACTGAGGAAGTGGTTTTATCATTGTATACAGCTCTGTTCAGTAAATACATGGAGACAACAAGATGAAAACACAGCTCCTGACCACTTGCAGTCTTAAGGATGTTAAACTCAGCATCTTTTCATTATTTAGCTCTTTCTACCTACCTAAATTCCCTATTCACATTCATGTTTGCTTTTTTATTTCCCAATATGTATGTTGCTCTATTGTTAATACTGAATGTAGCAACAATTCATGTCAGTCTGTAAAGCACATTGTTATCCTTGGATAAGGGCTACTATCAAACAACCACACAGTCTTAACTTGCCTATTCACCTTAGAGATAAGCATCTTAAAACAGAACAGACCATTATGTCTGTGAAGAAAAATGCATGATTACACGATGTGTGTGTGAGGCCAATGAGGCAAGCTAATTAAAATAGCTTATGTATTTAAAAAAAAACTATGTTAAAAAAAGTGATATGTAATAATAGTGAAGTTATATGTATTTTTCCATCAAAGGTACCTCAAGAATCAAAAAGAATCCAAGGCCCAACCAAATAAAAAAATGTCCAATATATTTTTCATGAATATTTACATTGCAATGGTCATTTATCAATATGTACAAATGCAAATCCAAAACTGTTTCATCAAACAAAGTTTCAGCTAATTGTTGTTTGAGTGATGGTGGCGGCTGCCACATGTGAGCTCCTCCCCGCCACATCTAGCTAGCCAGAAATTCCAGTTAGCCAAGTGTACTGGTTACTAAAATGCTGGTTAATACAGCTTTTACTGTACTGTATGTGGATCTTATATACATGCACATCATGTTGCTATTTAGCTTGTTGACTGCAGCAGATTGTAGAAGACATGTACGGCAGATGTTACTTCCTGCGTTGCTTGGCAAGCTGCAGTAGGCATGTACTGACTCTACTGAATTCTGGGAAATGTCATTTTAAACAGTAATGTAAGCAATGCAGAAGAACCCCAACAGCAAATTAGGTCTCAGTAGTCTCATTTTCTGGATGCCACTGCACTTTGCAGAAAAACAGAAGTTTTCACATATGCAACAAAGAGCACCACAAGATACTTACAGCAGGATTACTGCACAGCAGCAGCAAAGTTTAGCTAATTATTCTTAGTGAAAAAGTATGTGCATAGTATATTAAAGACCTAGGTTCAAATTGGCTTCTCTCACATCTTTTCCATGTGTTTCACTGTTGTACAAATTTATTTTAAACTTCTAGTAGCAGCTCCAGCTCTTCTATTGGTACCCGGACTCTTAATTCTTTTTCAGTCATTAAGTCAAGCATCTCTTGCAGCTGATCTGAAAGATATTCTACCGCATCTATATACAGCACCTGTGAAAACAAATTTAAAATGAACATTCATTCTGACATCCTTCTGTTATAGCAGGAAAAAAACTGGACAAAGAGAAGCACCCATTTAGTAGATACAGCCAACAAGGAATATTACTACAAAAAGTAAAGATAGGATTAGCATTTCTGTAGTGACAAGACTATGGACTATAAATGACTAACTATATCATTCCACATCAACCTACAACCAAGTAGAGGGGCTGAGGATTGTTTGATCTCCCATCAACAGTGGATGAGTTGCAGGTGCTCCCTAATTTGGTTTTTCTAGTCTCTGAATTCCCTTTATTTCATCTATATATGTCTCTTACTGAAGTGATTACAGCATTCAAGGCAATATCACTCCAGGGCTACATAGAGGAAAAATTTATTTCTCTCTCTCTCTTTTTTTTTTTTTTTTTGCTTATTTGCCCTGAAAATTCATTTCTCATTTGCAGTTAACCTTGGAAATCTTTTCACAGTAAAGCTCCTCATAATTTTGATTTCATTTCCAAACATGTAGTAACAGGACAACTTATATTCAAAGTTTCTCCAATATTCTATTTCTAAAACATCATTCTTTACGACTGGTTTAATTTTTTAACCTACCTTTGCCCAAGGACAGTTTTGAATGGCTTTATAAAATACTCCTTTGCTTCTTTCTTTATTTCCTAGAGAAACCTGTGAGAGGGTAAAAAGCCATATTTCAAATAAATTGTGGGTCCTGAAGCTATAAAAATGATTATCTGCAATTATTACTTTCCTTGAGGCAGAAAAGCTACCATTAAAAAGTTCACATCAATAGTTTCCTTGGACCAATCCTTATGACCAATCACTGTACCAGACATGTAATTTAGTATCTTACACTGACAGTAGATTCTGTTATACAAGCAATACCTTTAGAAGTTATATGGTGACTTTTCATAACTTGCAAGCAGCAGAGGAGCAATGACCGGCAGAAAGACCCTCTGTTTAACATTTCACTTGAAAAACAGCATCTGTCTAGTACTAAATGACATGACTGAACAAGAGCACAAATCAGAGTGCAGAACTGAAACCCACAATTCTGAAGCAAGTATACTATCATCTGAGCTACACTAACTTTGGCTATAAATCTCTTGGTTCAGGAGATTGTGGCTCTTCCTTCTCCTTAAAGGGCTATAAAAACCTAGTTATTTCATTTCCACAATTCCTCCATTGGCAAATTTTCAGAAAAAAACTGTTCTCCATTTGTGCATGCAGTTGTAGTATATATAAAACATTACTGTATTTAAGTAACATTTACAAGCATAAAACATTTTATTCTATAAAAGGTTTATATGCAAATGTTTTTTCACCTGTATACAACGCACAACATGGCACAAAAATTCTGTCCATGTAATTGAGCACATGGAAATTAAACATACAAAGGAAAGATGGGTGAGGCCTTTTGGAAACCTGCCTCCTTGCATCTCCATAAATCTACATAATTGAGTTAGTATATACCTGAAAGTAGTAAAATCTTCTTCCTACAAGTGCCAGCTGGGATTTCTGATGACTGAAGCAAGTACAGAACATTCCAGCTATAATGAGCTTTAAATCAGAAGGATTAAGGAGACTGGAATTTTCAATGTGTAAAGATTTTAATGATTTCTACCAAATGAAATTTTTAAAATTGGACAGGTTTAAAAAGAGCTCATGTGAAGGAAATTCCATGGCAAGCCAGACCTAAGCAGCGTCTTCATGCAGAACAACAGTTCTGAAATGCCTTGCAGTGCTCAGGGAAGAGGAGATTCTTCAATAGCAGGTGACATCATGTTTTTTCTTGGTCTCACTGCATTAATATTAGGACTAAAAATCAGCAGCACCCCTTGCTAAGTGCAGGACTACTTTGTTACATGGTGAAACGTTACTTGTAAATACCTGCACCTCTTTGGCTTCACTGAATCCTTGGTATTTCATGATAAAATTACTTTCCATTGCTGAACAAAAACACATTTTGCTTAGCAGAACCCTCTCTCAGAACTAAGCACTAAAATGTCTCCTCTGGTTCTTCAAACAATTCTCAGTTTCACTGTCTAATAATTTCCTGAGGAATAATGGGATTTTATGGGAAAGGGATTACTGATTAAAAAAATATACATAACAAGATGGACTTTGTCCAAAATATTTAAGATCTAGTATTTAAAAATACATCATAATAAATGGTGGCAAGATCTACCAGCTTTTGGCCAGACATTAAAACATGGCAGTTATGACTTCACATAAGTGGTTATTATCTATATGTAGTGCTGAATGCTTTTGCCACTCTGCAGAAACTTTTCAGGGCTGTTGATGCTAGGGAAAACAATGTTTTGTGTGTTATTCTTCTATGATATCTGCCTTCTTATCTTGGTGAAAATTAAGTGACTGATGATGGCAAATGTGCTTGGGAGATTTTTGCTTTTGCATTTATGTGAAAATAAATCCAACTCTCAGCTTGTACAATACAATGGTAATTCAATTTAGCTGTAGGCTGCTACATATCCAAAAAAACCATTAAATAATTCTTTTATGAGCTAATGTTATGGTTGTAAAAGATTAAGAGTCCTGGACAAGATGTCTTCTTATGCACAAGAGGCATTATTTATTTTTCCTACTAGCACTTCTACTAGTGGCTTTTCAAGACACTAACAGGATGTATAATGTGGTAGAAAAGGTTCCACTTTAGACAAATTCTAAGAATTACTCTGTGCTTTCATGCCTCTGTTCTTTTTCCAGTCACGTTAAAAGTGGTGTACCAAGTCGGGCTGTCTTCCACTGATTATGGAGTTGACTTTAGGCATTTTTAAGGTAAGATGCAGACCAGTAAACAACACAGCTAGTTTTTAAATCAACATTTTTGGATATTGTTATTTAGTATAACTTTTACAAATATCTGTGCATTAACACTGTCATGACAAAATTTCAAAGGGAAAAGCAACTAATGTTTCATGGCAAGCTGCCAAATATACAGCTTATTACATGTTTTCTCTTTTACTAACCCAGCTTTTTCTTCACCAAGTGAAATCTTGTTAGTCTCTCCACACCACCTGCACTTCTCATTTTGTCTGTTTCCTCTTCTAATTATCCGTGCACTTCCGATTGATTCCAGCCTACCATTTTTTTCCAGCCTACTGTTTTTATTCCACTTAAAATGTCAGTTTCCTTACCCTAGATTTCTTATTTAATACTGTGCCAGATACCTTGCTTCCCCTTTCACAGTATGGTTCATTTTTCATAATGTTGTAAAGGGAAACAATATAGAATATCAGACAGTAGTGTAATGTGGGATGGACAAGCAGGGTACATGCCCTGGATGCCACCTAAGGGGAGAGAAGCCAGAAGGGTTGGGGAGAGGTGGACGGAAGAGGGTGAGAGAAAGGTACATATTTTCTATGCTGTAACTCTGGTGGGAAGGAACAGTAACGAAGAAAATATTTGAGGAGAGCAGATCAGACAGTTCCAATGTTTGCAGTTTCTTATTCTACCATTAGCGATTTACCCACAAACAAATACATCAAGGCTCTGTCCCTGTCACTCATAATCCAGACATGACGTGATCTAAATGCCAAACAGATACTCATGTAGAGCAGACTGAATATTAACTTCACAATAAAAAATACACTCAAATATTTTCCCTTTCTGAATGATCTATAGAATGGATTTCCCAGCCCACTGTGGCTGTCATAGAATACATATCCATTTTGACTCTGCCCACATAAAATTCAACAATACCAAAGAGATAACCAGAATAAGCATATCTGATACCCAGCCAAGCAGCTGCAGTTAAATCTAAGTCCTCAGAGGACTCTCATCCACTGTATCATCTAAACCAGGGGTGTCAAGCTCACCCAGTCCCATAGGTTGGATGTAGGTTGTGGGGCCAGCATACAGGGCCGGTCCAGCATGGGCAGCTCATGCAGCAAACAGCCTGGAGCAGCCTCCCGTGCCGCATGCAGCACATGTCAGGTTCAAGCCATATGTGCCTCTCAGCGGTATAGGGGCTCATGCTATATGTGGCACATGGGGCCAGCATGGGGCGCATACTGCATACACTGCCCGCATCAAACCATGTGCTGGCCCCCGAGCCAGAGTGCATGGCTGGTCCAGTGCAAGCACTGCATAGAAGGGCAGGGCCAGGGCCAGCACATGCCGCATGGGTCAGTCCAAGATCTACGGGACAGATCCTAGGGCTCTACAGGCTGGATCCGGCCCCCCTGGTTTAAAATGAACCAAGTTGAATTGTGCATAAAAGTCTCTATTTGCTTTCTGTCTTCTCTATCTGCCCCTATATCCTTATAACAAAAGACTATCTACTTTAAGTTCTTCAGATACAGTATATTTTTCCTCTACTTTTCATTCACCCACTGACAGTCTTTCTGGGATTCCATATTCTTGAACAGAGGAAACCTTAATATGGTTGTAAAGCCTACTATGGAAGGGAATGAGGAATCATTAGGTAGAAATTAAATGAGAAGTATAGATTAAGGGTAAGCAATTGAATATTTATCCACTCCTGAATGCTTAAGAAGTGTCTACCACATGATGACCACTGGTATGTGAAGTCACTGTTTTCCCAGGAGAAACCGCGAGCATACAGATGTCCAGGCTTTTTCTCTCAGAGGAAAAATGCTGCTTCAGGAGAAAAATAACCAGAAAACAGCCAGGGTTAAATCACTAACCAGGAGAGTTTCTCCTGAGAGAACAGATATCTGTACATGCTGTATGCTGCTAAGGTAATACCAAACCCAACCTGATGCCCAGTATTAAATCAGCCATTCCAAATACAGCAAATATAACAATATAAAGTCTGTTCTCATCTCACCAGAAAGTTCAAATACATTCTCCACAGCAATGGACAATGGGCACCATTTTCACTCTGAACTGCATGATCAAATAAAGCTATGATCCGATTTGTTAATCCAGTTTCAGGAATGGTTGAATATATTTCTCCAATATTTGCCCTGAAACAGAAGAGCAGACAATACAGACATCAGCTGAACAACTGTGTTCTGATGAAGAAGGCAGTTATTTCCCTGTCGATCTTCCCCAGAAAATAGCACAAATGTATTATAGGAGAAACACAATTCTTTTTGTGAATACAGAATCTCAGTGAGGAAACTAGAATGGAACATCTGCTTATCCAGTTAGTAATTTTTAAAACATAAATAAGTTAAAAAAAGGTCAATGAAGTATTTATTTTAATTTGTGGAAATGATCTCTGGCAAACTGAAGAACTTATACTACTAAATAATGCAGAGCTGAGAAAGTAATTCTTTCTGGGTCATTCTTTCTGAATAGAATATAACCTGAAGACACTAGTCTTCAATCGTGTTATAGTGCTATTTTTCTAACATTTTAGCCTCTGTATAGAACTAAATAAACACAGCAAAATAAAAAGGCTAATAGTTTTTAACTTAAAAAAATCAAATACTCTCAAGACTGGGCAACACATTTAAATTGTATAATGTACATGCTGTGCTCTACCCAGGAACAAACTAAAGAATGAATAACTTAACAATTCTGAATTTTCATAGGGAAAACAAAGTGCAATGCCATCAGTGATTAGAGATAAAATATTTTGGCCATTTAAAGAAACACTGCTGTTCTCACCCTCTGTCACCTGTCACTACAGTCCCAAGGATGAATCCCAACGAAGTTTCCTTTGATAGCAGGCTTAGCCTTGGGAAAAAATATCCCATTTTACCCTTGATGGAGTCAGGCACTGTCATCTTTAATCCTCTGAAAGTACATGTCTGAAGCTGATTTATCTGAACCTTTGCCTTACTTTTTCCATTTAGCTCATTAACAAGCTCCTACAGCCTCCTTTAAAATTAACCACATGCATTCTGCCAGGCATCAATACAGAACTCAACAGGGACACTAAGCCACTCACAATATTCATAAAAGATACTACAGAGTTTCCCTTTCAATCTCAGGAATATTTGTAATATTTTATACATGACTAATTAGCTATCTGTATATTTGTCCTGCAATAGTTTCACAAAGAATAGGCTATTTCATATTTAAAATCAGTTATTAAAGATTAATTTATGTATTTATGATAATGTCATCAAGCATTTAAAAATCATCTTCAAATATCAATAGTTAAAGTCTAACACAGTGTCAGGCTGTAGCCAAGAGCGAATCATAGATTACAATATGCCTGGCTCCCTATACATTTTGTGGCCCATAGGATTTTCATTACAATCTATGACTGCATTATACTGACAAGGCACAGCTCATGGGCATCACTGTCACCAGTGTAGCAAGATCTTGAGGCAAGAGAATGGGACGATAACCAGGAGACCCACCTTCTATTCATAACGCTGCAGCTGCTTCAGTGGGTGGTCTTAAACAAAACCAGCTACAGTTTTCCCATCTATACAATAAACATAATAAAAGTACCCAGGCTCCTTTGTAAAGTGATTTGATAGCTACAGAGGAAGCCAGAGAGTATTATTTTTCTCAGAAGTTGTTAAGATATTACCTCTGGACATTCTCCACAAGCTTTTTTCTCATTTCCTCTGCTTGAATTGCAAATAGCCATGGCTCTAGGGACTCTGTGGATCTTGTGACAGCATGAAAAAATCTTCGTGCTTTGCTAGCATTGTGAGACTTCCTTTGGATTTGGATATATGACCTCCAAAGAGCCTGGTTGCTAGGATACAGCTTCAAAGCCTCTGTTAGTGCCTCTCGCAGAGGATTCAAAGAGTAAACGCTGATTTTCATGTGATATTGGAGTAAATTTGTGTGCATCATTGTGACAGCCTCAAGAGGAGTGGCGAAGTTCTGAATGCCAAGATTTTCTCCAACACGTTCACATTTCTGCAGACTAAGACCTTTCAGTTTTTCAGAAATCTGTTTATATATTAGTACAGCAGCATCGATTCCAACAGTCAAATACTGAAAGAGTGCATAGCAACCAACCAAACTAACCATTTGGCTCCAACTGTTGGCTTGACCCTGGCTAGAAATTGGTGTCATACTTAAATAGTCTTGTAGTGCATGCTCGTATGTCTTTCGAGCTTTCAAGATGTTCACAGATAATGCTTGTCCACTATAGGGTACATATGGTCCACTTTCAACCAGCTTGGTTAATATATGAACGGTACGTGACATGACCATTCCTTCTAGACTTTCCAGCAGCTCAACTTCCAGTTGAGCATAAAGAAGACTCAAATTACAGAGTTGGGAATTTCTCATCCCTTCAGTTCCTGCCATGCAAAGAGCTGCATCAAACACTTTTCTAGCGTCATCTATGTTGCCAAGCAACCACTCCAGGTAGGCATACAGTTTCCAGAGGGAAAGATTGTTTCGATTCTCAGATGCCTTAAGGAGATTCTTGGCTAGCCTTTTGCTCTTCTTTCCCTGTAACTTTAATTTCTTCTTGTTTTTTGCTTGGAGGCACTGAATGATCTGCATGGAGACAGATGGAATAAAATTTGGAAAAAAAAAAGATTATGGCTATTTCTGCATTGTTCAGCTTCATTAACCCATTAACAATTTCTGAATCAACAGCACTTATCACATGCCCAACCACTAAAGGAAAGTAGTCCTCATCCTCTTAGCTTCTCTTTTGCCCCAAATAAATTAATCCCCTCTCCTCTTCTCCTAACACTGTACCATGAGAAACTGTATGTTATGTTCTTAATACAGCTAATGGACACATGGAAGAGAGCATCAACATGCATTAATTGTGGCCTGGTCCATACCATGATTTTTAGCTGCTAGTGCAGTTACAACAATGTAGCTGCACCACTGCAAATGCCAAGAACGTGTTTTTTGTTGGGTTTTTTTGTTTTGTTTTTACACTTTTACTAGTGCATTTTAATCTGGTTTGAAATTGGAACAAGATGCACCATGAAACATATCTATACCACCAGCTACACCAGTGCAGCTATACTAATGGCTAAACCCCTCTGTGTAAGCAAGGCATGAATGAGACTGAATTCTCCAGTGGTCAGATCTGTTTGTCAGAGCTGAACACTTCTGCTCCCTGTGGTGCCTCTGTATGCTTCCTCCATTTCCCCAACTTTGGTAACAACAGGCAGTGGGAGTGGATGTCATAAGAGCGCTACAAACATGACAGTCTAAAACAGAGATCTCACTCCCCCTTCCAAAGCATTCTCTGTCACCGTCTTGAAATACACACAGATTACACCTGTTTACCATTGTTATCATTGATACTTATACTATAAAAGTAAAAGTAAAAGCAAAAATGTAAGTGCAAAAAGATTTTTACTTTAAATAAGGAATCTGTCAGGCTGAAGAGTAGGAGCAACGTTTTCCTGTAGAGCCAAACAGTGCTGGCAAACAGAATTAAACATCAAAGTAAGATTCCACAATATAGAATATTTTGACAGACAAAAGCGAGGGTTGGGTGGGAAAAGCCATATTGGGACTTCTTACCTGGGTCCCACTGCCTGTTCTTACTAAGGTTAGGGAGAGTCTGGGTAGGAGACGGAGGGGGGGGAAGGGGGGGGCAGCTTACAGGCACTGTGCTGCATAGAGAAAACAAGACACTGACACGCTAAGCTCTCAAGTTCAAGAAATGACAAAGTTAGAACTGGGTGTGCATTACAATAGTCTTTACTTAAATAATCAGTTTGTACATTACAAATTACAGCACACTGTTTCATCAATAATCTTATAGTTGCATGTTGTAAAATGAACCAAAAGTTCCCTTGCAAAGTTCTCATATATTACAGTGATGAGCATTTTATGTAGTGCCTTAGTTGTTTAAATTTGGATTCATCCCAAATGGCCTCATTCATTGCATCTCATGTAAAAATTATTTTCAAAGACTATCTGGCATTCACATCAGTGGATGGTATTAATATGCATCTGAAACTGTATGAAAGAGACTGCATGAAATATTTTGTTAGAAAAACATATTACAGAACCAGAAATTACTGTGATGCACATAGCCTGCACTAGTATTCCTAACTTTCGAGTGTTCCAGCCATACAAATGTTAATTTGGTTTAATAAAATACAAAACATGAAGAGCCAACAGAATGAAAACCATATACGTAAAAGAGAATATACAAATCCTTATTTACCTTTGAGATTTCATATAGTAACCAACATTCAGAAAGGTTAATCTTCTCTTTTCCCGAAAACAATGGCAGTATTATGTGAAATAGGTTTTGTATGAACTCCTCTCCTTCCTTACAATGACCAATGTGCTGTCTCCTCCTGATCATTGTGTCCATGTGGCCAATGCTGCTAACTCCAGCAAGTGATGAATAAAAGGAGGTCAATGGCCTTTCATCCAACTGCCCACTGTCAAAGATGTTGTTTTCATCCATAGCTACGTAAAGACTTGAAGGAAAAAGACTGCACCCACAGGGAACTCCCAAAAATTGCAGAAATGAGTACAACAGCTGAATCTGAAGATCTGGATTAGAAAGTTTGATTAAAGATGGCCCGAGATCATCAGATAATACCTAAAAGAAGGAATGAAACATTTATTTAAATTACAATTCAATCAAATAGCTTAGCAAGTTCAGTTATCAAAGCAGTTTTCCAAGTTCAATAAAGATTTTTGTAAATGACTATGAAATGGTGATGGAATTTGACTGAAATTAAGATGACAAAATAGATAAGTAATGGCCCCCTTGCGGTAAGACTGCAAGCTTGATTTGATGATAATGGATTTAAATTTTCCAGTTCTAAACTACTAAATGTGTGTAGCATCAGCAATGGTAATCTCTTCAAGAAACTTATAAACCAGGAGTCTAAAAATAATAGTTAAAAAATGATGCCTCTGGCTGTTTTACTCACCAACTTTCACATTGATGCTAATGTTGGAACACTTACTATCACTGTATTTCAACTTCCTCTCTCCTCATTTGCATGGGTTTAGTTTACTTATCTGTCCAAATTCCAGGACGGCATTTTTATTATTTATATTACAGTAGCACTTAGAGGTCAGAACCCTGCTATGCTAGTCAACGCGCAAGAAGTTATCACCACCCATGGTCTTATTGAATCACAGTAACCTGTCTTTCTGGGTCTTCACAATCTTCTTCAGTCTGCTTCTTTGTTTTGTCAGGCCGCCATGGGACCCAATGCCTGGCTTCACGAGAACCTTCAACATCCAGCCAAATTTCCCATTTGGGTAGCGTTTTATCCTTTATTTCTTGATCTTCATCTATATCTTCCTCATCATCATCATCTTGGGGGGGAAAAATGCACCAGAAGTTATAGGAACCCCACCAAAGACTGAAATTTGATAAATGTAAAATCCTTAAATATATAACCAAATGCCATGTTACTAGACTAGACTAGACTAGACACTTCCAGGTTCTAATATGCCTAATACACACATATATAATCCTGGTTCTGATACCAACATTCTTGTGCAGCCTAAAGCAAACTATTGCTTGCTGATATACCTCACTTGTGTGTTGTGATAATTAGCATAAGTAATGTGTTTTGAAAATGAAAAGCCATACAAGTATACAAAGTTTTATTATGGTATTAAAATGTCACAGGTTACACTTGGTACCGCTGCTTTAAAATTGGCTGATATTTTCACTAACTAAATTTACGTGCAAAGGATGACAGCAATGTAGTTAAAAGCTCATAAAATAACCATTTGTTGAAACTAGATTATACTTTACAACCTGATTTATGTTTGTTGGAAGCATAATACTATTTATTAATTACCTGACCACAAAATATTAACTCTGCACCGCTACTGTTTTCTAAGTTCAAGGAAAGAGGATCACTGCTTGCCTGAACTTCTGGTCTTTGGGCCAGATCTACTTTATCAAATGAGCATCTAAAAATGGTCAAGAAATGCCATGATTTGCACAAAACAAGGAAAACAGAGCTATTTTTAAAAACTTTTCTAGGGGACCAACCCCTGTGCTTTATTCCAAAAGGGGATGTTTTGCCATTATCTTGATAATGGAAACACCTGCCTCAAGTACAGGCTGGGCTGAGTGATGCAGACAATCATACACTCTAAAACTGCAGAATATCATGTTCAAATTCATACATGCCACCAGGCAGGCTTTACTTAAAATGTGCAACAGTGAGGTGTATCATGTCAAATGGATCAGGATCCAGGAGTGGACTGAAGACTGGTGCTGGAATATTAATAAAAAGTTTCCTGAGCTCCTGAGTTTTCAGTTGTTTTAATTTGCTAAGTGTTATTAAAAGAGGAATATGTTTCAGCTTTAACTCCATCTTGGTAAAGATTTTTGGGAGCAGCTTTAATTGTAGTTTGCAGTTGATTTTCCTTGGTCTATGCCATTTATTTAAGACACTTCAGTATTTATGGTATCCCCTAAGGTTCTCAGGATCTGGCAGGAAAGGGAAAACATGTTAAAAAAAAAAAAGTTAAAAAAACCAATGTGCTTTACCAGGCTTGCTGACAACAATCCAGCCACCCTTTTCTTGTTGATGCATCCATGCTTTCCAGCCTTTTGCTCCTTTTTCTCCAATCCGAGGCTCTCCACTGTCCCAAAATGGTTCAAAGAACTCCACCTATTATTGAGGATAAAAAAAAAAAAAAAAAACCACCACATAATCTTGACTTCACCATTGTACAATCTTTTAAAAACAACTAAGCAGTCAGTCATTTTGAATTACATGGAAGCATAAGAAGTTTTGAAGGTGTACTTTTAACAGAAATCAGCAGGCTGTAAGCTGTGCAAGAGTAGGAGGCTTTTGGAAACCTAAACCCTGGTAGAAGAGGGACAGCTTATTTAGTCACCATCCATCTTTTGACAGACAAACATTTTGTAAACATCTGTGTGGTAATAACAGTTCTAGAAATAAATACAAAGTGGGTCACCGTACTATTCCAGCGTATTTTTATGGGAACCTGGAAACTGATCAGCCGTTTCAAATAATTCAAATAATTACATATCCCAAATCCTTATTTTGGTGTTACATAGGCATATCCATATACCATAGATATTTTAGTATATCCATTAAGGAAAAAAAAAAAAGTTTTTAGTATATTTTATTTAGCTAGGGTCAGGAAGGACCTGAACAGATCATCTAGCCTGACCCCCTGCCACAGGCAGGAATGAATGCGGGGGTTACCAGACACCCAGAAACGT